AGACATCCTCTTGGGGCTAGAGTTAGCCCTAAGCATGCTTTCTACATCTTGATTTGTGTATTATTGAGGGATTTGTATTGTGATACATGTTTTGACACTTATTTATACATAGATCTTATTTATTCAATTATTTGTGTGATTTAATGCTTCCAATTGATCATTTCATTCTATCCATATGTCTATGTATGCTAGAATAGATGTTCATATGTTTATCTCTATTTCTTGTGTTATTGATGCATGTCTAAAGTGATAAACAGGAATAAATAAAATTGCTAAAAAGAATACTAAAATGATAATCCAAATACTGAAACCTCAGAATAAATTTTATAAATAAAAAACTATTCCGACACATTCAACTTCTCCATTTCTAATACAACTCGAGAATCCATCTAGTGGACTCCTAATAAAAATCCAACGTTGACAAATGAACAACTAAAGAAAATTCGATGCTAAACCATAGAGCAAACTCCTACGTCGTCGGAAGAATGAGTAGCCGTCTCTGCTTAGCACGAACAAGCTCTAAGACCTGGAACCGTCCGTTACCTAAAAAATAATAGTGGGTCAGGCCCATGAACAAGTTCTATCCTAACTACAATCCAAACAGAGATCTGATACGTAGATACATCCTAGATGTCTCAACTATATCTACATAGTCCGTAAATATATATATATATATATATATATATATATATATATATATATATATATATATCCACAGTACATAACTCTCACTGGACTATGACGAGGGTCTCAACCTGAGTAAAAGGCAACATGCAAAACGCACCTGAGTGGGTATGACTACCTCAGCCTAACAGGGTGTACCTCAACCAACATAGCCAGCTACACATCCTACTGTATATACGCTCCCTAACCATCGACTATGAGACTCAAGCTCATATCACGGTACCATAAAAATATATTTAAAATCCTATCATATCCATCCATAAGAAATCCAGTCAGTCGTTCAGCTTGTTCAGCTGCATAGACTTACATATAAGTAGGATTCCATCCAAATACAATGTTGTGTCGGTCAACTGTTCGTTGTCCAGACACGACATATAATTAGGATTTAAATGTTTTAATTAAATCCCTATCATTCCTAACACAGAAATATAAACAACCATTCAATATGTCATTCAACTGTTTTAGTTGACAGGACATGAAACCATGTAGGATTTAACTGTTTTAGTTAATCCATTCCATATGTATGAATGGGTAGGAATTAACGTTTTGATCTAATCCATCCCTCCATATGCCACCGTCCCATACCGGTACATATAATGCATATGATCCGTAAATTATGCAACACTTTCAATAGTACATTAAATAAAATCAACATAATCCATATAGTTGATAAAAACAGAATTTAAATAGTTCATCAACTAAAAATCCATAATAATATCCATGTAATTGACGAGACAAAGTTTAATCGTTCGTCAATTTAAATTCCAGAATCCATCCATGTAATTGATAAGACCTGATTTAATAGTTCATTAATTCAAAATCTAGTATACATCCTTGTAATTGATAGAAATATAATTTACTAATTCTTCAATTAAAACTAGACCAACATCCATGTAATTGACAGAAAAATATATAATTAATTCTACAATTAAATCCATACCAACATTCATGTAATTGACAAAAACTATATAATTAATTCTTCAATTAAATCCAGGGGAAACATAACAAAATCTAATATGTATAAGACTCTATTATGCATCACAAAACAACTTTAAAAATCATACTCCAGTCATCTAGGTTGCTAAAATAAATGTAAGCTTCTAAATACTATACAACCGTCAACCGTCTGTGACATTTGCTTAAAACTTCCACACGGTGAATACCATAAGCATATAGAGATAAATTATGCACGGTGGGTTTAATTATAGCATAAATATCATGTTTAGGGTCCATGCTACATTCCGTTAAATTTTTAAAACAAGATTACACAATTCAGTCCTTCCTATCCGTTGAAGCATACAAAGTTGCTTGTTTTTATACTATTTATTCCACTTGCTCTACGAATCAAATTATGCAATTAGAGAGTTTATAATCCCTTGAAATTACTTTTAAAATTCTCATTCCAGTCCTTGAAACATTTTAAAATCCCAAACATGCCCCAAACAGTGCCCAAATAGTCCCAGAAATCGTCAAAACAAAGGAAAACAAGGGAGCCTGCTCTCTAGACAACAGAGCAAGCTCTTAGCATCATGGAGCTGCCTCCCTACATGGGAGAGCAGGCTCTTGGGAGCTAGGAGTCAGCTCTTGACTCCCCAGAGCCGGCTCTACACTTTGAGGGAGCCGGCTCCCTCTTCTATGGATCCGGCTCTCTCCCTCTCTAAGTCGTGTTCCCTTTCTGCTTCGTCTCCTTCGTCTCCGGCCTCTTCCAACCTTATTGTTCTACATTAATACTGACCTAAACAGTCTAATATATGTCTAGTTTCAACTCCAGTCCTTCGTTTACAACAATAGGGAGTAATATAACAATTATAACGGTACCAATTTGTATGTTTTAAAAACAAACGATGAACACCAACTTGCAAGAATTATTTCAGACAAAACAAACGCATACAGATTATCAATTTGACATGTATTATGCATGCAAGATTCAGTTAGTGTTCATTTAAACTCCTAGAAACTATCTAGGTATGCACAGAACACAGGCCAACGGGAAAGAGGAAGAAAATAACTTGCCTCTGTGGTTTTCGAATAAAAACCTTGTTGCCGTCTTCCTAAGTTTTTCCAGCGATCGTGACTACCGTCAAGGACTCCTCTACTCCGGTTCTAACCCTTGAACAACCCTCAACCTTCCTCCTTGGTCCGGCCTACAATCCTTAGCCAAAACCCTAGCTTCTTCTCTTTCAGTTTCTCTCTAAAAACTCTATGTATTCTCCCGTCCCTTATTGCTGCTATAAGGGTTTTCAAACCCTATTGCAGACCATCGTATATATTTATATAGGTTAAATAAAACCCTACTTCCAATCCAATACTAAGTCGGCTAAAAATAAAAGAAATAAAAAATAAAATAAAAATACAATTGTATGTATATAGATTGCCCTATACGTTTTAACCAATTATATACATATAATTTCTCATTAATATATATATATATATATATATATATATATATATATATATATATATAAAACCTAATAACATATTATTATTATTATTATTATTATTAAAAATAAATAACAACAATAATAACAATCTATATTCGCCAATATATATACGCGAGTATATATATATACCACCAACCATATATGGGAATTACTCGTACCCATCTGCAACCTCTATTCAAGTAGTCCATGAGACCCACTGTTGGTCCATTACTACGATCCCAAATCCATCAATTTAAACTAAAAATAACACAAAATGAAATAAAAAATAAAAGTCCGCATCAAAATCAAATAACAAATAATTTCATTCAACACTTAATTCAATTACACATAAAACAGGAAACCATCTAAACACATAGCCACGTAAGCACCTAAAAAATAATAAAATAAAAACTAAAACAATAAGATAAATAATAAAATTCCAATTATATCCTTTTTAAAATTAGGGGTATTACAATATATAATTCACATATCAAAAGAGAAGTGTAGAACAAGAACTTGCCTTTAGAGATTTGATTAAAACCCTAACCTCCTTCTTCCTCTTCCTCTTTCTCTTCGTTCTTCTTCATTCTTTCTCTCTAAAATATATTACGTGATATATTTCTAGTCCCCTTTTTCAACCCTATAGTTATATATTTATAGGCTAAATAATAACCCTACTCCTTTTCCCAATCCAAGTTATATTAATAAAGAAAATAATAAAATTAAAATACTAAAAATGTAACTAAAATATACGTTGCGTATAATCTATGTATATTCTTATTTTATAAATATATAAATATACATCATATTATTACTAAATGACTTAAAATTAAATAAATAAAAAAGAAACATTTAATTACTTAATCTACAACTAATTACAAATAACTAACACATCAATTAAACCAACTAATGCAAATAACATTCAAGCACATAATTTTAATTAATCAGTTAAGTCAAATAAAATATTTAAGCAAACAAAATATTTAATTAAACAATTCAATTAAACACGTAATCAAATAACTACATAGTCAAATAATTAAATAAAATGCAACTAAAATATATAAAATAATATCGAGATTATCCTTTTAAAATTAGTAGTATTACATTATTCCCCCCTAACAAAAGGAATTTCGTCATCGGAATTTGTCCTTACCTTCTTCCATTATTTATGGAAATGTTAAGCGAATGATATACTCCCATTTCCAAGTAGATTTAGCCTCATTATGATGACTCCATTGGACACGCACTAAAGGGATGACCTTGTTGTGAAGAATCTGATCTCTACGATCTACAATACGACATGGCGATTCCACATATGTTGCATCCGGCTGCAACTCAATCTCACTAACATCTATATGCTGATAACGATCCTCATCTCGAAAAATTTTTCGTAACATGGAAACATAAAACACATTATGGACACGATCTAAATTGTCCGGAAGTGCTAAGCGATATGCCACCTCCAATTCGATCCGTAATCATAAAAGGACCGACAAGACGTGGTGACAACTTCCCTTTCTTCCCAAAGCGCATTTCTCCCTTCATAGGAGATACTTTGAGTAGAACTTGATCTCCCACCTGAAACTCCAAAGTACGAGTACGACGATCTACATAACTCTTCTACCTACTCTGGGCAGTGTGCATGTGATCCCTAATAAGAGCAATCTTTTCTGAGGTATCCTTAATGAATTCAGGACCCACAAATCTACTCTCTCCAACCTCTATCCAACAAATAGGAGATCGACACGGTCGGCCATATAATGCTTCAAACGGTCCATTAGTGCTGGTATGATCGCACCCGAAATATTCTCACCTCCATTTCCCTATAAACCCCTTCCACTACCATTCAATTGCCCTTCCGACGCATTTATTAAAAATCCAAAATCAGACTAAAAAGGAGTGCAACACGAGGACTTCCCAGGGGGTCACCCATCCTAGTACTACTCTCGCCCAAGCACGCTTAATTGCGGAGTTCTGATGAGATCCGATCATCAGTTTTGGCATGATCGCACCCGACACATTCTCGCCTCCATTTCCCTATAAACCCCTTCTGCTACCGTTCTATTGCCCTTCCAACGCATTCGCCGGGAAATAAATTAATAAATACATATTAATAAATTAAAATTAAAAATACAAAACCGTACTAAAAAGGAGTGCAGCATGAGGACTACCCAGGGGGTCACCCATCCTAGTACTACTCTCGCCCAAGCATGCTTAACTACGGAGTTCTGGTGGGATCTGGTGCATTAGTGCTGTTATGATAACACGACCTATTCTCGCCTCTATTTCCCTATAAACCCCTTCTGCTACTATTCTATTGCCCTTACAACGCATTCGTCGGTAAATAAATAAATATAAATATATTAATAAAATTAAAATTAATAATCCAAAACCGGACTAAAAACAGGCGCAACTCAAGGACTTCCCACGCTTAACTGCAGAGTTCTAATGGGATCTGGTGTATTAGTGTTGGTATGATCGCACCCAACATATTCTCGCCTCCATTTCCCTATAAACCCCTTCCGCTACGGTTTTATTACCCCTCCAACGCATTCGTCGGGAAATAAATAAATAAATACATATTAATAAAATTAAAATTAAAAATACAAAACCGGACTAAAAAGGGGTGCAACACGAGGACTTCCCAGGGGTCACCCATCCTAGTACTACTCTCATCCAAGCACGCTTAACTGCGGAGTTTTGATGGGATCCAGTGCATTAGTACTGGTATGATTGCACCCAACATATTTTTGCCCCCATTTCCCTATAAACCCCTTCCGCTACTGTTCCATTGCCCTTCCGATGAATTCGCTGGGAAATAAATAAATATATATTAATAAAATTAAAATTAAAAATACAAAACCGAACTAAAAAGGGGTGCAACACGAGGACTTCCTAGGGGTCACCCATCTTAGTACTACTCTTGCCCAAGCGCGCTTCACTATGGAGTTCTGATGGGATCCGGTGCATCAGTGCTGCTATGATAACACCCGACATATTCTCGCCTCCATTTCCCTATAAACCCTTTCTTTTACCGTTCTATTGCCCTTACAACGCATTCGCCAGTAAATAAATAAATATAAACGTATTAATAAAATTAAAATTAAAAATCCAAAACCGGACTAAAAACGGGTGCAACTCAAGGACTTCCCATGCTTAATTGAAGAGTTCTAATGGGATCCGGTGTATTAGTGCTGGTATGATCGCATCCGACATATTCTCGCCTCCATTTCCCTATAAACCCCTTCCGCAACCGTTCTATTGCCCTTCCGACACATTCGCCGGGAAATAAATAAATATTTATATACATATTAATAAGATTAAAATTAGAAATTCAAAATCGGACTAAAAAGGGATGCAACACGAGGACTTCCCTGGGGTCACCCATCCTAGTATCACTCTCGCCCAAGCACGTTTGGCTACGGAGTTCTGATGGGATCCGGTGCATTAGTGCTGGTATGATTGCACCCGACATATTCTCACCTCCATTTCTCTTTAAACCCTTTTCGTTATCGTTCTAAAGCCCTTCCTACGCATTCGCCGGGAAATAAATAAATAAATATATACATATTAATCAAATTAAAATTAAAAATCCAATATCAAACTAAAAAGGAGTGCAACATGAGGATTTCTCTTGGGTCACCCATCCTAATACTACTCTTGCCCAAGCGCACTTAGCTACGGTATTCTAATGGGATCCGGTGCATTAGTACTGGTATGATCGCACCAGACATATTCTCTCGTCCATTTCCTTATAAACCCCCTTCCGCTACCGTTCTATTACCCTCGCATTCGCCGAGAAATAAATAAATATATACATATTAATAAAATTAAATTTTAAAATTCAAAACTGTACTAAAAAAGGGTGCAACACGAGGACTTCCAAGGGGGTCAACCATCCTAGTAGTACTCTCGCTCAAACACTCTTAGCTGCGGAGTTCTAATGGGATCCGGTGCAATAGTGTTGCTAAGACCGCACCCGACATATTCTCACCTCCATTTCCCTTTAAACTCCAATCGCTACTGTTCTATTGCCCTTATGACACATTCGCTGGGAAATAAATAAATATATACATATTAATAAAAGTTAAATTAAAAATCCAAAAATGGACTAAAAAAGGGTGCAACACAAGGCTTTCCCATGGGATCACCCATCCTAGTACTACTATCGCCCAACCACGCTTAATCGCGGAGTTCTGACGACATCCGGTGCATTAGTGCTGATATGATAACACACGACATATTCTCGCCATCATTTCCCTATAAACTTCTTCCACTACCATTCTATTGCCCTTCCAACGCATTTGCCGGGATATAATAAATAAATAAATTAATTAATTAATTAATTATATATATATATATATTAATAAAATTAAAATTAAAAATCCAAAACTGACCTAAAAAGGGGTGCAACACGGGGACTTCCCAGGGGGTCAACCGTCCTAGTACTACTCTCATCCAAGCATGCTTAATTGCAGAATTTTGATAGGATCCGATGCATTAGTGCTGGTATGATCGCACCCGACATATTCTTGCCTCCATTTTCCTATAAACCCCTTCCCCTACTGATCTATTGCCCTTCCGACGCATTCGCCGAGAAATAAATAAATAAATAAATTTATACATATTAATAAAATTAAAATTAAAAATCCAAAACCGAACTAAAAAGAGGTGCAATATGAGGACATCTCAGGGGTCACCCATCCTAATACTACTTTCGCCCACACACGCTTAAATGCAGAGTTCAAATGAGATCCGGTGCATTAGTGCTGGTATGGTCGCACCCGACATATTCTCACATTCGTTCCCCTTCCGCTACCATTCTATTGCCCTTCCAACGCATTCGCCGGGAAATAAATAAATAAATAATTATATATATTAATAAAATTAAAATTAAAAATCCAAAACAAGACTAAAAAGAGGTACAACACAAAGACTTCGCAGGGTGTCACACTTCCTAGTACTACTCTTGCCCAAGCACGCTTATCTGCGGAGTTTTGATGGGATCCGATGCATTTGTGCTGGTATGATCGCACCCGACATATTCTCACCTCCATTTCCCTATAAACACCTTTGCAACCGTTCTATTACCCTTTCGACACATTTGCCATGAAATAAATAAATAAATATATACATATTAATAAAATTAAAATTCAAAATTCAAAATCGGATTAAAAAGGGTTACAACAAGAGGACTTACTAGGGGGTCACCCATTATAGTACCACTCTCGCCCAAGCACGCTTGACTGCGGAGTTTTGATGTGATCCAGTGCATTAGTGCTAGTATGATCGCACTCGACATATTCTCGCCTCCATTTCCCTATAAACCCCTTTCGCTACCATTCTATTGCCCTTCCGACGCATTCGCCAGAAAATAAATAAATAAATATATACATATTAATAAAATTAAAATTCAAAACCGGACTAAAAAGGGGGGTGCAACAAGAGGACTCATATTCAGATCAGATGGATCAAATACATATCCGAAAATACATATCCGATTCATATCTTAATTGGCTCCAATTTTGATATGATTGGATTCGGAATCAGATTAAAATATTGTTGACTAACATGTCTAATTATAAGTTTACGTGAAGTGGAGAATTGTTAATATATAGGATGGTGCATAATATAACTATGAATATATATGTATTTATAGTATGTAACCAAATAACTATAATGGTAGATAATTAATATATATAAATTTAATGATATATATATATATATATAACATTTATAATATACAATTTACTAAATATATATGTGTAATTCTATTCAGTTCGGATCACTGTCGAATCAAATTACCTTTAATTCATATCCTATGTGTTAAGGTAACATATTATCGAATTCAAATCTTTATCGGATTATCACATTTTTTATTCATTCCATATCTGGATAATCAGACCGGGTTCGATTTAGGTTCGGATCAAAATCTGATAGATTCATACGCCAGTAAGAAATAAGAACCTGACCTTCGGAGGGACAAAGGCAACAACAAATTAGAATTGTATTAATTATAAAAGCTTCCTAGATACCTAAAAATTTATCTACTAATGAATGACATGCATCTAAAAATCCCAAAAAATTAATTAATAATCCCCAAATGATGAAATTAGAAGGCTCAGCAAATATAAAAACAATCTGAATCCAACTTCATCCTAAACAAAAATCATCTATAATTAGGAATATGCAAAAAATTACTAAAATCAACTGTAACTATATCAAAACAACCTAATTTTTAATTCAAAACTGGCTCCAATCTCATAAACGAAATTGGTAGCGTTATAAAGCTCGTCTCAAGCTTTCCATGCATATTTTTATGGGCCCCATAACTCATCTCGGATTGAAAGTTATGGTCATTTGAAAATTGGACGAATTTCCTGTAGAACTTTTGAGCTTGTGAAAAAAGAACAATGTATAGGCTTCTTCTCTACCTGTTAACACAACCTCGATCAATTTCCGGCGAATGCTGCTTCACGTGCTAAACACAACCTCGATCAATTTTTCGGTGGAACTACATTACAAATACGAGCGTAATCCTCAAATCCACAGTCCTAAAGCCTTTCTTGCTCTCTAGAAACAATTGACAGATAAAGATAATATTTTTTGTGTGCTACGGTTTTCTTTTGACTTTTTTTTGTGTATTTATTATGTGTGTAGAATACCACAATATGATACATATTATTTTGTTCCCTTCTTAATTTTCAAGCCAATATCAAATATGAAAAGTTCTACATATAATTTTAAGTTAGTTTTAGATTAAATTATTCCTAAACCCAAAACAACCTGATTACAACGTGTGTGTGTGTGTGTGTGTTTGAAAAAGCTGCCTGTACGAAAGATTTCAGGATCTACACTTTTTTTGTAAATGGAAATCTATATTCTATAATCTTGCGTCCTTGAATGAGGAGAATCTCATTGTAAGATTGTTACCATTTTCCTATTTTTATGGATGATTATATATTTTTAAGACTAATGATGAGTCCGACACATTAGATTAAAAATTATATAAATAAGAGATGACATAATCATATTTAATAATGTTATGATAATATCATCCCACTCCTATAAAATAGTCAATACATTCAACTTTCAAATTAATTGTCATTATTCATATTTTAATAGTTTGTCAAATAATGCAAATAGGGGGCATCTATTGTAACTTTATAAATTAAATTCTCGAATTCAGTTAAGAAATAATTAACCAACTAATGTACCAAACTTTGTTAGTGATGGATCATCAACTCACCTAATCAATTCTAATATATGGCATCATGCATCTATCCAGGGTGGGGGCCCAAATTTATAAGCAACATTACCTTGTTAGAATTTTTGAAAAAATATATATATATTATGCAAAAATATTTTACTATTTATTATATTCATACAAAAATATATCTATCTAAACGTTTGTCAATTTATTTAAAAAAAAAAAAAAAAAAACTCATTATTTAAAAAAACTTTTTATCAAATTTTCTGAACAAACACAAATAAGATTTATGCAAAAATTATAAAAAATTTCAATTAAATAATTATATTTTAATTTATAAAAAAAATAAGAAATTCATGTAATACTTGCACAAATTAATAATCATTACACAATATATCAATAAAAAACAAACAACAATTAATCAATTTTGACTAATTTAAATCAAAGAATATTGGCAAGTAAAAAGAAAAAAAAAAAAGTGATAAATAAACATTATTACTTTTTTAGAAACTTATTTGAGATGCAAAACAAAACTATACTACAGTATTAATATTGAAAACCCCTCAACCTTAATACGACATGATTAATTAACCTGATTAATCGTGTTAATCCGTTTACGATCTAAACCCATTTAAAATCAACCAAACTCACTTAACTCGTGTCATGTTAGCGGATCATGTCAAATTTTGCAATCGTGTCAAGTTGAAATAAATAGACATACCAATGGATTTATTAAATCTTGAGTACTTGTTATAGACCAAGGTTCCTTTTCCTCGTGACATAAGTCATACGGAGCGGAGTGCGGGAGCAAATGTGAGAGTGACAAAATTTAACTCAAAAGATAATAAGATCGGGAGTAAGAGCATGTGCAGCGACAATGATAATACACGCAGAGCGTAAAAGCGACACCCGTATAAAATAATTATGTGACTTAACTAGGGACTAAATTACGTAATTAAAATACTATAGGAACAAAGTTTTATCTATTGCATAGCTGACTGTATTTGTGTGGATTTTATTGTAATTTTATTTACGCTCATTCAGAAAACTCGATTTTGATTCAGAAATGGTAAAATAGATATAGAGGTGCTCATACGCTTTTTGTCATGTCTATAATGACCAAATACTTGTTGCATACATCATTCTTAATGCTGATACTTCGCCTAATTCAAAAATAAATTACTACCACAGAATGTTAAGAATTAACAATATGTTTCTAACAGACTCGCATAAATATTACAATCAGAAGCACCCAAACACAAACTATTTTCATTATCTTTTATCTTCTCTACAGAAACATCCCCCAAGGAGTTCCAAACATTTCAGATTACCAGCAAGACCTACAGCACCAACCAAACACATGTAAAACAGCCCACTGAAAACAAGTTCGCACGCCACAAGGAAAAAGCATAATATGAACCAACGGGCCAGTGGCCTAGCGGTATCGGCCTCTTACCTCCCAAAAGGAAGTCAGGGGTTCAAGTCTCTGAAGAGACGTGTGAGTCCAACTAGGAAAAAAAAAATACTAAATTCTTCTCTCCTTTCACGGTAATGCAGTGGTAGAGCTATGTCATTTATGAATTTGAACAGTAGGTAACTCATTCCAGAACAAAAATGAAAGCATAAAACTAATCAATTACAAAACAACTAGGCCTTGTGAGGCCACACTGGAGAGCAAAATCTCTTAGATGAAGACCCGGTATGACCATCCGACAATGTGCTGAAAATCACCTGTTCTCAGCAGCTCCACCTATACAGTTGTGCGTTGGCT